CAAATAAAGAGCCGAGTAGATGTCCTGCAAATTCTTGTGGGGAAAACAGTACTTTTCTTAGAAATTTGTCAGGGAAGTTTCCTGGATACAGAAAGATCCAAGAACCTCTTTTAGTGGAAGACTTAGAAGGCGACATGCCTCCTTGAGCCTCTGTACTGAAGACTGAGACAGAACGACAGCATCCCCACAATGGTTAACGAAAGCCTCTTTATAGAATTTTTTTAGGAACTTATCTACTTTTACTCTCAGTTCATCCATGTCGAAAGTCTTTGTTTCTTGGTGTTTACTTAGCCTCTGAAGCAATCGTTGCATGCGCAATTCATGTGTCTTTGTGAAGAGTTCTGTCGCCGTGGTCAGACTGTTTACAGCATGTGGGTCAAGGAACCATAATATTGTTACGAGGACTAAGTTGAAGGGGAACCGCCAGTGGGCATGCATCTGGCTGTCTTTTCTTGCCAGATACCGGAGGAGACCAGAAATGTCTTTGTCAATGGAGCCTGGGTCCTGTAAAGCCTGGCTATAATTTCTTACAAACTCTTCACGTTTGTTCTCTTCTATGCCCAATACCTTCATATGAATAATATCAAAGTTCTCTGGCACATAAGCCTTGAAGTCAGGTACTCTGTTGGGTCGTGTTGTGCAGAGAACAGTGATGTCATCAGTTCTACCCATCTCCATGATTTCTCTCAGCACTCTTTCTGATGCTTCATTGAGTTCATCAAGCCCATCCACAATGAACATGAGTCTATTTTGCTGAATGCACTCAATCAGACCATGTTTGCCTTGGACTTTAATTTTAGATTTGGGCATCAAAGAGCCAAGGAGGTGGCCAAGGGAATTTATTTCGTCTCGGCACCTACTTAAAAATATAAGATCATAATCAGTGAGAGTCTCCATGGAGCTAGTGCCTGAGGCCCAGTCACTTATCATCTTTCTTGTTAGGGTTGTCTTGCCAACACCCGCAGGCCCTTCGATGAGCAACATGGAACAGTCTTTCCCTTTCTGTTCCCGTCTCTCCTCCGCCTTTGCTAGAAGTTCACAATATTGGACGAACTCGTGTATTTGTGAGCCTTCCTGCTTGATTTCCATCGTGGTGAAGACTTTATCCACACGCACCTTCGATTTCCCAAGCAAATTCGAAGCTGGACCAAAACTGGACTCCTCTCTGTAAATCTTCTTCAGCTCCCGTTTCCCTTCGACTTTCACCTGCTGGCGCAGTCTGTCGAGAACTATTCTGTGAGAACCTGATGTCTGTGAGGGATTGTCTCTGAGACTGTTGATCTCTTTGTTTATCTCTTCCAATTTACTTTGGATGGTATTATCATCTATGTTGTAGATTTCTGCTGCTTTCTTGAGGGCGTTATTGAGCAGATCTCTCAGCTCCTCTATCACCTTAAAAAAGTTTTGGTCATCCACAACATACTCTTCATGTAGGAAGTCATTCCTACGATTCTTGATGGATGTCACATACCACTCTAGTGTGGCAGGTGACGTCCATTGAGGATCATCCGGAGGTGCCAATCCATCACAGCCGAATTTGATGCAGATGTATAAAAGTGATACATCAAATGTCATGATATCACTCTTCTCCATCTTTTTCCTTTGACTCTGATTAAATTTCTTGCGTATTGTTGTCATAGGGATCATCTTCACCTGTATGAGGTACTCGTAAAAGGCCTTGCCAGCCTGTCTCCTGGGAGTGCCTTTCTCTAGCACGAACGTGAGCACCTTCTTGCTCGTCTGAGTGGTCATCTCGTACAAGGCGTAGGCCAGCTTGGACAGGGATGGAGCCATTTCGGAGGTGGACGGTGACAAAGCGGTTGCCGGTCTGCAAGAAAACAAGAGTGGGTGTCAGTCTTTCAGTTCAGTTGCGGCCTCATTAAAATATCCACATGACCAATGCTGAACAAAGAAAGGCCGTCATAACGGCACAAACAAGCAGACTGAGGGTCGTCAAATCAATGCAAACTAGATTCTGGCAGGTGTGGAACTCCATCCTCGCCACCAATACACCAGCTATGCTAAGCATCATCCCTAGGTCTTGAAATTCGGAAGTCATTTCAGCCATCAGAAAGGAGAAAAAGCTCTTGCATTGTTGAAGAAATTGTTTTTTGTTTTATTTTTTCAAACAGATTAAGCCATTATTTATCGTAAGAGGACACGCCATCCATAGTCTTGAGGACAACTCATGAAAGGCAAAAGGGGAGAGAGGGGGGAGAAAGTAAGAGAGACATATATATGTATATATAGAGAGAAAAAAGACAGAAAGAAAGAGTAGGAGGGCAGAGAGAATGAGGGTGGGGTGGGGAAGAGAGAGGGAGAGAAAGAAGAAAGAAGGAGAAGTAGATGAGATAAGGGTAGACAGAGAGAGAGCGAATGACTGAGATAAAAGAGAGAGATGAAGAGGAGAGGGAGGGAGAGAGAGAATGAGAGATTTAAGGTGGTAGGAAGGAAGTAAGGAAAGGAGGGAGATGAAAGACAGACATCCATAGAGGGAGAG